AGAGAAGTACGTTGATTGGTGATACTTCACATCTCTATTAAGACTTCTACCAATTTAACAAATAAACTGATAATAACTTTGATAATAACTTTAACGTTTGAAAATACGCTTCAATGACACATATTTATGAAACGAATATCACAAAATTTTCAACCACAAATATTTTCAACCGCAAAGTTGATTGATCAAAGTTATCTCTTCCATCGATATGAACATTTAATATTTTGAATAACACATTGCTACATTTACCGTTATGACTTTCCTTAGATTTCATTATCAGATTAATGTACATTATTATTTCCTGTTATTTCGAATCGAGGAAAAAGTTTTCTAGAAATATACACATTATAATTTCTAATAATATTTGTAATTCAAATTATATAAGTATGACGATAATTTAATAATACATATCACACATATTTCATTAACTTTAAGCTCACATAAAATGTATCAACAAGACGTCAATCGACATTACTATAATTGCAAAGGTTGATTCGTATTTTTGTATCGGTTCTGTTCACCACAATGAATAACATTATTTCGTCGTTACGTCAAACGATTCCTTTCCAAAGACGATTAAATCTAAATAATATTAGCTTAGAAAGAAGAAACCTACAAAGAATTGTAGATTAAAATTCCTCAGCTCGATCGCAAGGTTGTTGTTGTTTTTCTTTTCTTTTCTTTTCTTTTCTTTTCTTTTGACACATCACCGAAATAACCGAAGTCGCGCATGCGCTGTGAAAAATCCATGTAACGTTCACGTGGTGGAAGAACATGAGTCACGAAATTTTATTCGACAAGTGGATTTACTAATAGCGTGTATGTAACAGGCTGCGTATCAAAGGGTTAATAAGAGTGGAAGTATCTCAAGGTTGCTCAATCTACTAAAATCTTAGCGCAAATAAAACGAGCACGACTTTACATAATAGATGTTGAGTCCACAATTGGACTTATTTATGGATCCCATTCCCTTTAGCACGAAGTTTCACGTGAAATGCAATGCTTGTTATGATTTTGACTGATATTGTCACATTTGTTCTTATTAAACTCGATTGACAGAGATCGAGAATTGAATTTCAAATAGTTCTTCCTTTCGCTCTATTAATAGAATAATAAATAAAGAACGAATAAGAAAGCATCTTTAAGGTTAACAAGATGCTAATGAGTTTTTCTTCCATAAGAAATAATCGACGCATCCGTCCTTCTCATTAGATAATCAATAGAGTGAATTATGAATCATGAATTAAATAGTTATAAAAAGTGGAATAATAATTTATAATTGTGTAACGATACGATCGCGCGGAGTATAATCGGGTCGCAGTGCAATGGCAACATGAATGAGCTTACGATATTACGAATTTAATTTACGAATGGCAGGAAAAAAAAGAAAAAAAAAAAGGAGAGAAAGAGAGAAAGAGAAAGAAAAAAATCGCGGTCGTGATAATGGGAATGATACGATGCATGGCAAACGTTTGCCTTCCATATATTCTAATTTTAACGGGAAAGAAAAAGAAATAAAATTGCAATTACGTCATGAGACACGATATAATTTATTGATATAATTTTTTGTACATATAATATGATAAGGATTAATGGAAAAAAATTAATTGCACGATAATGACAAAGATGAAATATTAAAATATATATATTTATCATAATTTTTTTTTTTTAAATTTAACATATCAATTTCTTCTTATAATAAAATAATTTCTTATAGAAGAGATCGCAGAGAGATGACCTGTTAGAGAATCACAATGCTCGTAAATTTATTATCTTTCCTGATTTTCCTTCCTTCTTTCTTATCTGAAAATGTACATGACGTCCATCGTAAACGTGGCGTGACACGTAAATAAGATATGTTTATATTTTTTTTAATTACCAATATGTCATCAATTATCAATATTACTTATTATTTAGTGATTTTTTTTTCTTTTTCTCTTTTCTACGATCGATCTATTTTCTCGTCGAAAATTTTTATCGATCTCATTTCGAAATTTGTACGTGATCGTTTTTTTTTTTTTTTTTTTTTTTTTTTTTATTTATTTAAAGCAAAAATATCGATCTATCGACGATCTATTATCGTTTTATCCATTTCATCTGTAACTCGTTTTTCAATCCGTTGCATCTGCGTATATAACGAATATACTCGTCGTGAATTTTTTCAAGTTCAAGTGGCGAGTTATATTATACTTATTATCGCTTTTACGACACAATTTAGGTAAAAAAAAAAAAGCTTTTAAAAAAATAGGATAACACAGTTAATAAGTTAATTATTGCACTTGTTGCATCTAACTTGAAACAATAATGGGTGATAAATTTTTTTTAATTTATCCACACTTTATGCAAATTTACTTATTTTTTTTTTTTATCGATAAGTAAATCAGTCTTTCAATAATTTTAGTGTAATTTATTTTTTTTTACAACGATCTTTTTCTATATTTCTCCTTTTCATTTTCACTCTTCGGCATTTCACCACGATTGTATTAAAAAAAATTTTTTTTTTTTTTATACTTATTTACTTACTAATCTCACATTCGTGTATTGTAATTTATGCGTGTATTTGGATCCGCGCTTTTAAGTACAATTACATAATACGCGTGACGTAAACTGTTAATTTTAAACGCGATGTGACTTGTAAATTTTTGAAAATTTATATGACAAGGGGCGGGCAAAATTTTCGTACGTATCAAATAATGTCGAATAAATTTTTTATGATGATGAAAAAAAAAGGAGCGGGGCGGGAAGAGGGAGAGGAGGGGGGAGGGGAATGCGGGGAAAGAAAAAAATGTTTTAAATAATAAAACATTCGCATTCTTAAAAGTTGAAAAAAAAAAATAAATAACGTATATATTGATTTACAAACAGAAATTCATTAAATATACATTTATTCTTTATTTGAGAAGCTCTAAGAACCATTTATTATCTATTGATCGTATTGTACTTTATTGGCAATAAAGGATTATGCATAATGGCATCCGTTTCTAAACCGCAAATGCAATCACGTGACGAAAACGCATATGCATACATTACTTTTATCAATTAGAAATACATGAAATTGCAAATTAGTTTTTTTTTTTTTTTTTTTTTTTTTTTTTTTTTTTTTTTTTTTTTTTTTAGTGAAATATATGTAAATAAGAGGAGTAAGGAGTTTTTTCTTTTCGCGAGTTTATAGTAATTCCGCATTCGTAATTTATTACTTATTTTTTTTTCTATATAAAAATATAACATTTTTTTTTTTTCCTTTTTATTTAGAGATATTACTATACATTTAAAGTTTACTTTTCACACATTTAACGCAATTAAAATATTTTTTATAGTAATAATGAGTAATAACGAGATCGAAGAATTTTTGTATTTCGTATAAATTCGAAAAATAAAAGTAAAAATTAATCAAATTTCTTTGTTTATTATTATTAACGTTTAACCATAAAGAATAATTTTTAAATCATTTTATCCGTAGAAATATAAAGAAACCGCAAGTTTTTTTTTCATATTGAGGATCAAGAAGAATTCAAAATTATTTAGGGATACAATTGATTCGTTGAAATGATGATAACATTATTATCGCGCGAAATTCAAACAAAGGAACGGAAGAAGGAATTAATCGACGAACAAAAAAAAAAAAAAGAGACCATCGATTTATAATTTATGACAGCTTTTCTTCCTCCGTCTGTGGATCGTTCCCACGGAAGAGTGCCGCCACGGGAACTCGAATGAATAATATTCTTGGTGCAAGATGCTTTGTCAAAAAAAAAAAAAAAGGAATCAAGAGACAGCGTCATCGGGAAACGAAGGTAATGTCTCGCTCTTTTTTACGCAATACAATGAATCATGCTCACGCCACGAATATGCAAAGCATAAAAAAAGGGGGGGGGGGAATCGAATCACGATCATCTACCTTTTGGAAATCGTAATTGAGAGTCGCGATCAAACGTGGGATTGAAAACGGAAATAATAAATGGCGACGTCAAATCAACAAAAAACTGAAAGAATTTGCTCGATAAAGCTTCTTTAATCGGGTAAAAAATAATCTAAATAAACAATTCTCTCGAAGATTTCTTCTCTGTAATATTTTTTCACATTATTGAACGAACGAAAAATCGTTAACGAGAAATTCCAAATTTAATTTATATTATTATATATAAAATAAAAAATTTTAAATTTAATTTAAAAATATTATATATAAAATATTATTATACAATAGGCTCGATCGTTTTCTAATATTTTTTATTTGAACAATAATTCGTAACATTCGTTACTGCACTCATTGTCGAAGCAGTATTATTGATTATCCGCAGGTAATTTTCCATTAACGAAAAGATATGTTTGAAAGAAAATGATAACGTTAACGAGAAATTCCAAATTTAATTTTTATAAAATATTACACAATAGATTCGATCGTTTTCTAATATTTTATTTGAAAAATAATTCGTAACAATGAGTTGCTCGTCGAAGCAGTATTATTGATTATCCGCAGGTAATTTTCCATTAACGAAAAGATATTTGAGAGAAAATGATAACGAAACATCTCTTAAGAATTCATATTATAAATACAAAGTTTATTACGAAATTATCAAGTGAAAATATATAATCCTAAATCGATAAAATCGATTCTCTTATTAAACCCCTCTTAACGAACTTAATGATATTAATTAAGTTAATTCTTGAAATGAGTTTGATCAAAGGATGATCGAAGAGCGAAACGGCATCGTCCTCTTCCTTCTGGACTGTACGTAAATTACTGGGCAACGACAAACATGGCGTGACTAATCGCATTCATCGCGTCTACTCATCGGTGCGCATTGCAAAAGTCCTTTTCCTGTTTGATTATCGGTCGTGCTTCAACATTCATGAGATTATATTGCAAATAGATACAAAACAATTCTCAACAGCGAATGTTTGTGAATAAAGTGAATTAAGTTTAGACTCATAGCATTGAAATATAAAAATTGAAATCAACGAATCAAAATAAAAATATATATATATATATATAAAACGTTCATCGTGTCACAGTTAATAATTTATATTAATAAATTTATTAATAAATGATTTTAATAATAATTATTAATATTTTAATTATTAATCAAATTATTAATAAATTTAGGAGAAGTCACAGTTATAAATTTAGGAGAAATTTAGGTTAGGTGTAACACGTACTTTCTTCACGTGATTTTCACGCAGAAATTCAGTTTTTTATCTCTCTATTTCTTCGTATTTCGTGTTATTTCATAGCAATGGAATTTTTCTTCGTATCTTCAAAACATCTATACGAAATAAAATAGGAGAAAGTAGTTTGTGAAATTTCGAATACACAACATATCTGTATACGTTGGAAAGCTTATTTCTTTTCATTGAGTTTTTTAAACGGGATATCTACGTCATACGACAACATCCGGGCATACGGTCTCGATTATGCGTTCTTGAAAACAAGTTCATGCACATTATTCGTATGAATAATAACGGTAGAAATGTCGTCTGTGTTGAAAAATTAAAATAGATAATGTTAAAACTCTCTTATGCAATTTAGTATACTCATAATAGAATAGGGAATTAACTATTTTTTTTTCCTCTCTTCTTGTGAGAAAACTGCCGGCTATTTTTATTAATTTGAAATATTAACAAACAATGGAGAAGTGCGTGATAATAGGCAAATATTTATTTGTCTATTACATCCTGAAATATCGTTTTATGACGGTTAATTAACATACGACATTGGTATAATTTTAGCATAGAACAAATAATAAAACAATGAATAAATTTCTTGGTGAATTATAGCGATTTGTAAATATCTTTTTGCTTTTTTTATTCTTCTAGGAAATTAAATAAACACACCTGGAATATAAATATACGAGAAGTGAAGTGAAGAACGTATCTCATGCTCCGTGCTATCACGTTTATTCTAAAATGATTTCTTTTAGTGAAGTTCTCACTTTTTCTTCCTTCATGTTCTTTATATCGTTCGAGATAACCGATTCAAATTTTGAAAAGGGTATCGTCAAGAGTGACGTAACTACTAAATTATGACGTCAATCCTTTTTTATCACATTATTATTACCAAATCGACCAGGTTGTATAACACTTTGTACTTTCTTCGCGTGATTTTCACGTGATTTGTCTTTTTCGCGATTACAAAAATGTTTCAGAAATTCAGTTTTTCATCTCTTCGTTTCTTCGTATTTCGTCTTATTTCACAGCAATGGAATTTTTCTTCGTATCTTCAAAACATCTGTATGAAACAAAGTAAGAAAATTAAACGATCGAATGATATTATTATTACTATTATTATTAAATAATTTATAACATTTCTTAAAGTAAAACCTCGATATAGGTCCTTTTTTGTTTATAGGGTAGCAATACACACAAAAGCAACGAGTGATTAACGAGAGTAGTAACAGCTGTATAAACGTGGATGATGCGGAATTGATGCAATCTTTCTTCGGATTTTACCTCAAGGAAACTCCACGCTCCTTCAGAAGAAATAAACATTTTATCTTAGATGAAATATCTTATTACATTTTTGAAATTTAATCAATGAAAAAATTTCTAATTTTAATTTAAATACATTTCTTTTTTTCAATTTTTCAATTATAAGAAAGGAAGGAAATCATTTTTAAAATTTAATCGATGAAAAAATTAAAATTGTTTCAGAAATGTAACAGAGAGAGAAACAGGTCGAGATTTATGTGGGTTATATTCTCTATTAACGAAGAGGCATACCAGGAATTTCTTTCTACGTTCTTTCCGTTTTCGAAGTCCCACGATGAATCTGAATAACTGTCGCACGCCACCGACTTTCACCTCGGCAAGATTTTTACGTCAGCAGAAACGTCTCTTTAAGCCGAGCGGAGTAGAGTAGAACGGTGTAAAATTAAATTGTCGAGAAGCGCCCCGAGTGACAGATCATAACCATAATGATTATAAAAAAACTAACCAAAATGAAACTTTATCTACAACAGACGCGTTTAAATTAATCTTTATTTTTGGCACCAATGAACTTTAAAGTAAATTTTACGATTACATTTAAAATAATTAATATACGTATGCATGTAAAAAACATATTGAAATTCATATGGTAGATAAGATGAATTTTTATCATGCTGCGAGGAAACTTGTGATAATATGAATGATTTGTTTCCTTTGATATCTTGAGGCAAAGATGAATCGAGTTAAGAATGATCGAAAATTAAAAAGTAGAGCAATGTGTGTTTTAAAAATTTTTTAATAATGGCAACACGTCGCAAAACATTCGTTGCAAACTGTTGAATGATTCATAAATCCTTTCCTTCGATCCTAGACCTTGAATAAACTAAAGAGAAACATGCATAACTAAGATATTAAATCTAAAGATTACAAGAAATTCTGTGTAAAGTACCGTTTCTTATTCCTTGTATATAGTTATCTTTAATGGTTATCTTTTCTGTATATATAGTAATCTTGTTATAATACATTGTGAAAGATAAATCATTGTTTGTTTCATTGTGGAATGGACAATGATATATATTTCTAGTTAAATTAATATTTCTAATGAAATACCGTTTCAGGAAATTGATATGGACAAAAAGATGATGATTACTTAGCACAACGCAATAAGTGCCGTTATCTCTTGATTTATTTACAACCTTGTCACTGTAAGTGGCACCATTGAACTTTTATAAATAATACAAAGTTTAAACTTCTTAACCACTTCTTATCCAACTTCTTATCTAAAAAAAAAATTTTTATTTTAATTTTATTTTAAAATGAATTATTTGATATTTGTCAATATAAATCATACTTACTTACATTTTTAAATTGCTAAGTAATATGTAATTAATTTTATTAAATTTTTAATAAAATTTTAATTCAAGGATGTGTTATGGCTAACAAAAGTAATTTTTTTTTAATGCAAATTTTTCATATATTTTATGTTAATTTTGAATTTTAAAATATTTATTCAATCATTCTGACAGTTGACAAAAATTTTATTCGTGAAACGATTAACGAGGAGGAAAAAATTAATATGAATGATAATTACGGTGCAATTTAACACGAAAGATAAGAATATTATTGTTATCGCTCAAACAGATTAAAAATTAATTTTCCCATTGAGAAAAAATAATTCTTTGATGAATAAATATTATTGATTGAATAATTATTATTGAATAAATTCAATAATTTCATTGATTTAAATAATAAATACTTTTATTATTATAAATTTTATTTCTTAATGCCAAATCGAATAACTTCTATCAGGAATTCATTTTTCCATTTAAAAATCATAGATAATAAAAAGAATTAATGTAAATTTCTACTTCTAAAAATTTTAATTATTCAGATTTTAATGAAACATTCTAAAGTACATTATATGATAATTTTCGAATAATCCTGTAAAAAGGGGTTATGACCCGAATAATGGCCCTATCCATTCTGGTTTCAGAGTATACTATACATGTAACAACTGCACGAACGAGAATCGGACGTCGACACGACATGGAGGGGGAGCGTTCAGACGATAAAACTACATGTAACTCTCTCCGCTGCTCAGTATGCATTGAGAAAGCGAGAAGTGGCAGGTAATCGTTGTTTTATTTCTTGCATTTTCATATTCACGCGGAAACGAAAAAACGATTATTAATTCGTTGACAAAAACTCAATCCTACCAATCAGAATCAACGTCTTATAATTTCCTTTGTGGGGTAGTTAGTCTCTATAGCGCATGCGCAATATCGACGGTTTCACACGCTTCTTCAATCGCGTTTCGAAGCTATCGAAGTTTTCACTGTGAAGTTTTTCTACAGATACAAATTGATCTAATTGAATAATATTGTCCGAATATTCAGTGCTTCGTTATTTCTATTGATAAGACATGCGATCTGGATGAAAGTAACATAAAATTCAAAAAATCGAATTTATACTTTCAAAGATAGCTTCCAATCGAAAATACCACGTGAAATAGCATCAGTTTATGTTGATGTGAAAGAATATTCGAAAACGGCGTCTCTGAATATTCGAGTAATAAAAGAAAAGAATAATAATAAGAAATTTATTCAAGTGGGAGAGAATTAGTTTGGAAATCATCGTTAAAGATTATGATAAAATGAGTATCGGAAGCCACGCCTAAGATGAACTCGTGAGCGTCGATTGAGGTTAGCTTACTTTTAAATGAACATCGAGATTTAAGTGCGTCCCTCCGTTCATAGCGAGTGACGATTTTATTTGTATACATTGTGCGTACGTGTTCCGGAGGAGTGCCAGCTCGAAGAGAGGAATAATGTCAAGCAGTGTTTGCCACGCGCCTTTACCAGCACGAATGGAAGCATTCACCACGAGACTCTGTCTCCGTGCTGCTGATCAGTATGAGCGGCTTCTGCAAGCTCACTTCAACAAGGTACGTGTGTCAAAAATTATATTCTTGTTGATTATTTTAATCTATTAATTCAAGATGCGAACACGTTAGAAATAGAAATTCACTCGAAATACGAGAAACTTCGATGATGCGTAAACTGCAGTAGAATATTTATATAGATATACGGTCCTTCGACTATTTATAACATTATCTTTAACAGATAATAAAATAATTTTGTTGTAAATATTTCGTATTTATTGTATTGTTGAATTTGATTATATGCAGAGCTTTGTAATAATCTTTAAATATTTAAAATGGTTCTAAAATTATTTAAACGGTGCAACAATAAAAAAAATGTACAAATAAAGCGAATAGACATAAAATAGATAGAATTTAATTAAAGATAGATTTTATTAAAAATAATCAATTGCAAAAAAAAATATCTCATTTTTAATGTATTATATTACTATTACTTTTCTTAAATATTTTTTCTCTCATTTTATTATAGAACATTAAATTGAGAAATATTATTTAACGTGTATTCTAGTTTTAAATTTGCAAAATGTTATTCATTTCTTTAACATATCATTTACTACTCTACACGTGTTGTATGACACAAGAGACACTTATGCATGCATAATTTACAAATGATAATAGTCAAGTTCAGTATTCATTTATGTTTTTTTAATCATTTGTATATTTATCGATTAGAGCCATTTTTAAAAATCAAGAAGAAAAAAATAAAGCAGTCATGAATTAAAAGCATCAATAATTGAAAAAATTTGTTCCAAATAAAGATCATTGAGCTCTATTATAGGATGTAGTTTCAACGATGTTAATCATTGTGGAAATCATTGTTTCTTGATATATATTTAATACGTATGCATACGGAGGACGCCGTTAACGGTAACATCGTTCCATTTTTCGATTTGCCGTTATTTTTCCTTTCACGGTATTTGTTTCGTACATCAATTGTCTGTGTATTGTAGATACAATTTACAACGTTTAAGTTAATTCATTTTATATTTTATTTAAAACGTAAAATTAAATAATTTTGACCAAAAATTATTTTGAATTAAATACGTTATAACGTTTACTCGAGAAATATTTATTCCCTCTAATGCACCTGTTAAACGTATGTCTGGGCAAATAAATTATACTTTTGCTAAGAATAAAATTAGGCTGTGAACCGGTCTTGTATTTTTAGTCTGCTACTCTTTCGCACAACTCCAAATTAAAATCCCATAACTAATTTAAAACGTTCGACGTTTTAGGTTAGGTGAAGCGTTTAAAAAAATCTACTTTTATTAAAATCTATCTTCACCCGTTAGTTATATACTCGACTTTAAAATATCGTCGTTCGATTATTATTCGAAATATCGCTTCGAAATATCGCTTTATAACCTTTAAATGTACGTATTTAATGTAAATAATATCGATTGAATTTGATATATCTCGACTCGACTCGGAGAAATATTTTAATCAAAAAAAGATCGAATTTGACTTTCGAAACACTTTTGAACACAGACTCGACCTTCGACCTTCGACGAAAGCAGATGATGAATAAATTCAAGGCGGTGCTCGATGACAAATTCAAGGATCCCTTTATATCTGGAACAGGGAACATGTTAAATCATCGAGTTCGTGCAACTTATTTGACGATGTATTAAGTCGAAAAAGAAAGGATAAAAGTATCGAATTCATAAATTATCAGCTCAAATGTGGGAATAATGTAATTCAATGAAATGTTACTTGTTACTCGTTTCGCCTGTCCTGTTGAAATAAATCATCGACAAATTTCAATTAAACTTGCTCTTGTTTACTTATTGCATAGCTGGGATATATAGATCCATGCTTAATATTTTCATATTAAATTTTGAATCATGACATAATCGAAAATTTAATGCAATATTTTTTTTTATTTTAATCTGATTATTTTTGTAATAAGTTTGAAAATGAAATAATGATAAATATTCGTGACTATTAAAATTCTAATCTGAAATTTCTATTCATTGTTAAATTGAAAATTATAATTGCTTGTTATAAATTGAAAGAGAATAATGGAATATTTGAACATACAGTAGAGACATTGTATACACTATGCAATTTCGAGAAGGTATGCTACGTGATCCATTTCATGGACCAAATACATACCTCGTTCCGATAACGCATGTATAAAATGATGTTTATAAAATATGAAAATATGCGGTGGAGAGCAATTAATTACTCGTTGAATATAAAGTACTTCAAATAATTATCAAATTATCTGTGTGAAAACGTATAAATGTAAATTATTTGATAAATACTATTTGATTTCTACATAAAAGTTTTATACCAACTTGAAAAGTCACGTACTCGAATGATTTTACGAAATAGCAAAAAAGAAATACAACGCATGCTCGTTCCATTGTATATATGGCATATCTCTAATTGTAACGATAATAATAAGTAATAAATTTGAACAGATAGGAGAGAAATTTAAATTAAAAAGAAAAAAAATAATTTCTATCCACTCGATCCAAATTTTTATTATTTTTATATATTTTATATTTTTAAATATTTTTCTTTAATTTATTTTTAATTTATTTTTAAATATTCATAAAAGGATACGATTCAAAGAATTTTTTTCAATCGTTACAAACAACAAAAATTCTTCAAAATTCATTAACTTTATTTAAAATTATAAACCCGATTTTCTAGTAGTCGCATTAGCTTAGTAGCCGACGTTAAAACGTATTCGTGCCTCGTATACACGTGAATATGGTATAAAATAATTCCTATGACGTGAAAGATACGCTTCGTGTAACCTAGTGTCACAGGAAATAGAACAAAGTGCATATCTGCAGAATGATTTAAATGTAATAATAAAAAAAAAAAAAAAAANAAAAAAAAAAAAAAAAAAAAAAAAAAAAAATAAGAACAAGTTTTAATAGCGTAACAACATGTGATCGAATTTAGCACGATATTTGATACTGAACAGCTTCTAAAATCCAAGAAAATTTAATTAAATTTTCGATCACAAACACTCATCGATATAATCGATCGATCAAAATTTATGTATACAGTCAGATCATTTTATATACAGTTTACTCGATTATCTCAATATAGAACGTTCCAAAGGAAGATGTTATCCCTCGTAACAAATTGAGAATTGTTATTCTATCCTTGATATAAGCCAATTTAGAATCGATAAAGGAAAAATTTTTTAAAAACAGGAAAAATGCAAGCAATCTTTCTCTTTCTTGAAAAATAATAAATTGCACAAAGCAGTTGTAATGTTTCACGACTGATTGTATTTTTCAAGTATTTTCGTTCCGTGGTTTTTTTCCACGGATGCAATTTTTAATCGATGAGATTTCCAGTTGATCGATAAGATTTTTTTTTTTTTTGCC